GACACGCACACATTCAGACAAATATCGCATAAACAAAAGTATATGTTCTAACGATTTACACAAAATGTTGTTGAAATTATAAAGCAGTAGAAGCAAAGTAATTTTATAGAGGTACTGTATTCTCTGTTAACCCAAATAATATATTGATTTTTAATCATTTATCAAAACTCTTTAATAAAAAGTGTTAGAACTTAAACTCTCTTTCCTTTGGTCTGTACCTCCCTCTGCTGGCAAAGCTTTATTACTACAATAGGTCTCTGAACTCAGTTCAGTGCCTGACCCATTATTTTACTACGGGCCAAAATTTTGTTTTAACCCTCACTCTAGCTTCTATTGAAGCAAATAATTTCTTGAAATAAAAAAAATAAAAAACATTCAGCATTATAACTGAACTATCTGAATTTCTGGGTGTTTATCAGGAGGAAATTTCCGATAACAGCCTGGGGCTTTTTGGTTGTTGTTGTTGTACCCTCTGGATGTTTGAGCTCCATTTCACAGAGTGCGTTCAGATTTTGATACATTATGGATGCATTTTAATTAATCTGATGAAAATGGAAATTTACAATGCTCTCAAGTTAGAAATTTTAGGCATGATTTTCAGCGTATTATCTTTAGGAATCTTAAGTAGTTTGGACTCATCCTGGTCCTCCACATTGCAACATCTGTGTGAAGTTTAAAACTAAATGTGTTTTAAGAAAATTTTAGGAACGTCAAACTTTTTTAATCAAATTATATATTCAAAGAAAGAAGTCTAAGTATATCCTTTAACGAGTATCCAGCTATGGTTACAAAAACACAGAAAAAGCATACAGAGTTCAGAAATGAGAAACAAGATCTCCCTCCAAAGGTGTCCCAGTTTTATCAAAGCCTGTAAAATCTTTAAATAATCAAAATAAGCTATTTGGACTGAGAAAAATTGTACACAAAAAATGAAAACTAACCAAATTTTACAGCAAAAATTCAGACATCAATTAATTGAAAAAAACACTCTTTTCTTTTTACTCATAATGCAATTCAGATAAGAAGTGCAAGAGAAGACCGTCACCCTCCCAAACAGTTGGGGCCAGTTGGTAGCCATTTGTTCATGACATTAAAAATGACTCAGGATTCTAGGAAAAAAAGAAAGCTCTACCAATTGTCTCTCATCTGTCCTCTTAACTCATTCGATGATTTTAGGAAAACACACTACAGAACACAAATATTTGTCAAAAATGAAAAAAAACAAAAATAAAAAATTGTTCACTTTCATTGTTCATGCTCTCATACAAAATATTATATCCTTAATGGTTGAACTGGAACTTCAGCATCCCCTTTTCCTATGAAATGGTCATAATGAACACCCCCTTGAAAACATTTGCAGGACCAACCGGCCATTAATTGGACCATTTTTTATGATTTTCTGCACTTGTTTCTTTTAGTTCCTGGTAAGTTCACATGATATATTTTAGCTTTAGAGGCTAGGAACTCACATGACATCACCAACAGAAGGACCCACTGAGGATCTACTTTTCATCAGCTGGAAACTGAATGGCTGTTCTGGGGATTTCCAACTCTTTTCAACCACTGTTCATCATGTTCTCTCCTAGGATGAAAAATAAACATTTGTCAATGTTTTTGTTTTAACAAGGATGCAGCGGATAAAGTCAAGACTTACAATTTATGCGCCACCAACAAAATGCCTCCACAACATCATAGGGTGAGTAGTTGCATATTTGGGTTCGGTGTGGCCAAATTCTGTAACTCAGAAATAAAAAACTTTACCCACAGGAGCCTTTTTGGTACAATAACTTCTGGTTTTGTTTATTTTTCTTATTCCAAACATGTGTCTATATATTGAACATCAGAGGAGGCGCCCCTCCTACAGTCACTCCACATGTCAATATTAATAGTAATAATAATGGTAACAATAGAATCATCAGAATGATATCCTTCTGTCGTCATGAGGGGCTGAGAGCTGCTGGTACAAATCTGAGGGAGGAGCAGGAGGAAATTAAAAAGCAAAACGTGACAAAAATGTACAACAGAACATAAGGTTGCACATGAGTGGCTATGTTTGTGAGAACATCCACAGGCATGGTAAATCCCAGGCTACCTTACAAGGACCACGGTAACTCGAACCTGATTCTACCCTGAAACCCTAAACCTGAACACTGGAACTGCTATAATGTGGGAGATTCCCACTTGTTCTCACAAAAATAGACAATCAAATACACACTGCCTTATCCACAGAGTCAAATCTGCCACTGAAAGCCATATTTTTCTAGCAAAGTAACTATTTTTTTTAGGATTTTCCTCAACAAAAAAAACCAAAACAAAACTACAAGCCAAATAAAAGACTGAAGGTACGGCGCTAGAATAGTTTTTTATTTGCTCCCAACACAACCAACCAACTGTAAAGTCTTTGCATGTAGAACTGACATTCATTATCAGCACTTAAATGTTGCGTAGTTAGTCAATGGGATTTGAGAGCATAAATCTTAGAGCAACAGCGGTTAACAGATGACCTTTGAAATTCGACAACTTGGTGTGACGATCAAATTGTCATGACATCAGTTTAAAAGGGCTCAAGGTTACCATTTAAAAAGGAGGAAGAAAACAAAAACACAAGCAATACTTAGATTGGACACGCTGACTGAAAGAAATAGATACAATCACAAATTTAGTTTTCTTTTTTTTTTGTTTCTCCAGTTAGCCCGACAAGTTCACAAAAAATAAACTGTGTGTGTGTGTGTGTGTGCAGTACAATGAGCTCCATTGACCTAGAAAAAACAGCCTAAAAACAGCTCTAATACTGACCTATAATATATGTAACTGCGCCGAGGTAGTTCTTTAATGCTTTGAAAAACAAATAGTGATAACCACAAACTTAAAAGAGATATCATGAGAGAAATCAGGATATACATCGGGTTTTTCTGGTGATAATCTTATCTGAAAGACCACCAGTTTTAAAGTATTTTTAAACAGCCAGCATATCAATAACACTCAACTGTAAATGTTTCAAGTTTTAAAGTGCTCTTTTGTTTTATCTTTAGCTGCTTTTAGAAAGATACTTATGTTATGATTGAATAAATGAATATGGGATTAATTTGAGGCTCAGCATCAAGTATTTCTCTCCAAACTGGAGGAATATTTTAGAAAATAACCATTCCTAAATATATAGATCACAAGTCTAAAGGGTCACTGTCCCAAACAGTGATTCAACTTGTTAACAAATTGTTAGATATTTATCTAATTATCTTGTGATAACAAAGATGAATGTCATCTTGAGATTAGGCTTGTTTTTGCAGTGACATATTGAGATATTTAATTTATTCTTCTTTGTAAAATTTGTTTTCTTGCCAGAAGAAAAAGTGGGATTGATTGATTGAAGGTCTGCCGGTGACTGAAACGAGTTAACCTCATTTTAATGGCCAAATGAAAATCAAAATATACTTCAGTAATGTAAAGGCATAAGTCGATTTAGTATTGAAGATACTCCCAAAATGCTGCAGCAACAACATCGAGTGATGACAAAAGGGATCGAACAGTCTCCCAGAAATGCTGAGCTTCACCACAGGATTCAGATCTTTATGGATCTTCATTGGTTGACTTTTTGTTTTCCATTTAAAATAACAAAAAATAACTGTAAATGCATTCATCTATACTTCTATACCCAGGAGGCACCTCATGTTTTGCCTTAAAAGTGAAAAAGGCTAGTTTATAAAGGACTTTCTAACTCTGAGGAGCAAAATCTTGATTTAGAAAGTCCAGAGCGCATTTTAAAATGCTGCACACCTAAGAATGCCAGCACCTTCATTATGACCAAAATTTGATCTGGCAATATTATCTGATGCTAATCTGTTTAAAAAAGCCTAAATATTAGAGCATAATTGTAGATAATAAATGCTACCTCACTGTTTAGTGGCTAATTGTGACGATGACAAGTTAAAATTGTTAACACATTTGAAAGAACTAAAGATTTCAGAAGGGATGCTGTGCTAGCTCCTGTTAGCCTAGCATGACTAGAAGCGGTTACCTTATATTTCAAATGTGCACCTTTAAATGTTCAAAAGAACTATCTGTATAAAAATAGATCAAGTAAAAATGACATCTTGGGGTTTGCTGTAACTTCACTTGCTGATACAGAAGATATTTTTTGTATGCTATGATAAGGAACTACATGCTAACATGGATGCCCCTTAGGGGAAAGGAGCTGACAAAGAGCTAACAAAGATCTTCACCATTATTTAAAATGAAATTATGAATTCTTGTCCCTCTTTCTCAGTTTAATTTTTTCATAAACTTTGCTGTGCATTGTTCTTAACATGAGGACGTATTTGACATAAAAGAACTACCCCAGCACAGTGTTATATATCAGGTGGGTATCAATGTTTGTTTCTCTGTTTCGTGGATCACAGCACCAGTCAGCAGGAGTCTGTACAAACATCAACAGTGTTGGAAAGAGCTACATCCTCCACAGATGTCCAAAAGAGTGATAGAAGACCATGATAACTGTACAGCTGCTCTGCTACCATGTGTCTGACTGTGATTCCCATCCACAAACAAACAACTGGTTTGGTATTCAAACAGTAAACCTCAAGAATTCAGTTTGTTTGTCTTCTTTGCCTAGAGTCTGATGATCAGCTGAGGTAAGAGGTGGAGGACTGCATCTGCATCTAAACCATCCTCTGAAGCTCTGCATTTGAAAAAAGGGACCTTTAAACTCCTTAAATCCAAATTGTATCGTTTGGTCAATGCCCTCGAACCCCATAAACCTGCCAACCACCATATTAGAGGACTTTTATCCACCAATCCCTGCGAGAAGTTTACTACAATGACCCACAGAGCCAAAGTGGCTACATTTTTAGTGAACGACCCTCTAAACGGGTCAAAATGGTTTCTTCTCATCCACCTCTGCCGATAGGCTTGTTTGGACTGATCATCTTCTGTTGTTGGGGCCAAAGCTAAAGTTCTGAAGGTTTGAATTCCCCACGTTTGACCCCTTTGTTCGAGTTTTAAGCTCAGTCATGTCCCCCGAGTAAGTCCGTCGGCGGGTGTGTTGGGGTTTTTGCTGGAGGCAGTGGCCTGGGCGGTGGTGCTGGTTTGTTTTTGGACCTCAGTGGACTTGCTGTGCCTCCGTCACTGTCGGGTCTGTCTGTTGGGACCGGTGGAGGGGGTGGGGGGAGGCGGGGCAGCGACATAGAGCCGTGGTGGTAGTGAACGTGGTGCGGATTGTGACGGTGGTGGTGTCCTGGAGTGGCCACCGAGGGCGGAGCTCGGGAGCAGGACGATGCAGAGGAGGATGAGGAAGGGGGAGGAGGTGGGGGAGGGGTGAGTGTGGCGGGCCGCAGGTTCTGGATCCTCCGGCATTCCTGGCAGATGCGCACGTGGCTGCAGCTCTGAAAGAAGCTGCGTGGGGGGGCGGGCGGAGCCACCAGGGCTGAGGCGAGAGGTGGGGCAGGGGCGCTGGTGGGGATGTTGGCTCCCAGTGGGTCCTCCAGAAGCCGCTGTGGGCCGGGGCCTAAATCAGGTCCTCCCCCCATTCCGCCCCCGAGCCCTGCCAGACCGCCGGTCATTTGCCCAGCGCCGCTGTAGAGTTTCCCGTTGCTGAGGCGCATCTCTCGGACCAGGCGGATGGGGCGGGGGCCGGCCAGAGCCAGGCGGGGCGGGTGGCGTAAAACTCCACCGCCGGTACTGCTGAGGGGCCGGCGCCGACGAGAGCGGGAAGTCTTCTTACAGGAGACGGCGTTTCGAAACTCCGTGAGCATCTCCTGACAAACAGAGACCTGAGACAAAAGAGAAAAAAAAAATTTATCTCAGAGCGGGAACCAGCAACAAGAAGTAAAATGCCTCAGCAATAGAAAACCTCTCCAGTGAAAGTGAGTCTATTTAATGGTTGTTTCAGCTGTTAAGTCTCAGATATACTTATAAACCTCTTTCACCATTATTAGTTTTCAATTCTACAGTTTTTTCTATATGATATGTAATCTGGATATTATGTCTTTGGAATATATAATACCAATACCAATTTTCGGTCTGAAAGAAAAAAGAAATATATCTTCTTGAACTGAACCAAGATTCTATCCCTTTTCAAAAGACCAGAAAATAATTATTTGAAGATTATTTCTCATAATGTTCACGATTGCAATAATTGTGAAGAGATATGCTGTATTTCTGCCTACAGTTTATATCCCTTTACGCTGTTTTTAAAAAAGCAAGCTATCATTTAGAACATAGCAGGTTCTGTGATTTTATAAGAGGTTTATGCCCTGTGTGGCTTTTTCTGAATAAAGGGTGTTGTTATCGTCACCACACAAGATAAGACAGCCACGCAGCAGCAGGATGAAGGCCTACCTCGTCTGTCTCTGCAGTGCGGCGCGTCGACCACACAAACTCCATGATGGCCACGAAGACGGCAATGATGAGGCCGCAAATAAGGACCACAAAAATTCCTCCAATGTTCTCCATCCCGAGACCTGAAACACGCAAAAAAAACAAACATTTGGTTCCATGAATGTAATCATTCCAACACTAAGATAAGACAAAGTAAGATAAGACTCCCGAGTTAACTTCCTCCCTGAATAGCTATTTCTTTGTGATAATCAGCAGCCTTGTGCCTGACCGCCCTCCATTCAAATCCACATCGCTCAGGTCTGCAATAACAGCAATCCAAATTCTGTTTGAAAAAGGACCAAATTGACCAAAAGCTACAGATACACAATATACACAACTCTATCATCTCTCTAAATCAGTGGCTGAATAGGAAATCAAAGAACAGAATTTCTGACATTAGCAGCATTCAGCTTTCCATTGTACTTGCAAAAATAACATGAAAAGGTCTGCAGTTTGTAACACTGAGGAAAATTTGTCAAATGACATACCACAGAAAGTTTTAAGTTACTCCTCAATTGACCATATTGTACTAAAAAGTTGTGTGCCTGTCAAAGCAGCCCGCTTGGTTACCCAGATCATACACCCCCCCCCCCAGGCAGTGGTGATGTAACTTCAACACAGTGAGTGCCAACTCCATGTAATGCATGTCAGTGAAGAGGTTAAGCCTGTGTCATTATTTCTATGAAAAGGAGAGTTCTTCTTTTTGTGTTCCACATGTTGGGATACGGAACAGTGCGCTCTAAAAAAAATGCACTGACTGGAAAACAATCTGAAATCAGCGACCACGTCAAGAATGATTATACTTGTATGAAGGTTGCAAAGCTTTTTGCAATATTATTAATTTTGAATGCTGAAAGACAAAAGGTTAATTCGAACCTTTCAAAAGAAATTATTTTTGGGGGGGGGGGTTAGATTTGGCAGAAAGCAGTAGCCTATGATACAAAAAAAGACAGAAATATGATTTTTTTTAAATGAAACAAAGAATTACAATTAAAAAAGATATTAAGTATTACAAAAAAGTTTTATTTTTCCTCATGAAAAAAGGCTTATAACACTTTCCTTACATAATCAGCGCTGTTTTAAAAGGCAGAACGAAAATGCTAATTATTTGCTGGATTTCTGTGACAGCCGCGTTCTTCTTTGTGAGCGCAAAGCAACAAACACACGCGCACACACTCATATAGTCTGTTCACCGTGTCATCAGCAACAAAGAGACATTTGATTAGCCTTAATGGGATCGTAGCAGCTTGATTTGGTCAGGCTCCCCGCACAAATCTGCTTCAAAATCTTCAGGGGACATCGCATGATTGTATCTTTATTCCTGCAGATTGCAGAGCCCAGAAAAGACAAAAGTCCAACAGAAAACGAGCCTAAAACTAGCACCTTTCCAACCTGAAAAGCTTTGCTTGTAAACTAAAGTCCCAAAAAGGAAGTTGTGTACACATGACTGGAAATGCATCATTGTTTCCTCAGCTCAAGTAATGAAAGCACACGTACACACAGATACGGATGATTTACTTCAGACAATATTTTTTCTGCTATGAGAACGGAGAAGAAAAACAAACAGATGACAGAAAGCAGCTAATCGATACACAAGCAGGACTCAGATTCCCATAATGATTGGCTGGTAAAAATCTTATCAGTGTAAAAGTCAATAAAGATAAACCATGTTGTCTCGAACCGATGAGGAAAAAGAAAATAAAGAATAAAAAAACATGTGTCTCCAGGTCACTAATGAAGATGCTGAGGGAAAATTTCAGCCTTAATAATCAATAGACTAACGACAAGCAGAAAACAAGGTTTCAAATAGTGAAAGATGGACGGTTTACATACATCCTCTCAGAAGGTGGCAATTTAAATGAATCTAACAGCTACAGGTTTGCTCGGAGAAGCCTTTTTACACAGCGGCATGTTTTCAACTTATTTCAAACTGTTCTAATTGAGAGCAAAAGAGCAGCTACATGTTCATGAATAAAGTCTCTGGCTATAATGTGCACACAAACTACTAAAGAGGTGTAAAGGCAAATATTTTATTTAAGAGAGGTGGTGTCAGCAGTGGTGCTGTCCCCCAAAGCTCTGGGATCTGAACGCTCTGAGCAGGAGATAAAAAAGGGGAACCCAGTCTTAACACGGAATAATTCATGGAAAAGAATTCTTGTCACCTTCCACGATACGGTTATTTTCCTCAATCACAAAATCACTGTGTAAACAATTCATTCACATTTTATAGGATGTTTTTTTCCCCGGATATTTCTGTACAATACCCCCCTGTTACACTTTCAAATAGCCTTGGGAACACACTGGGAACCTGTTTTGACTATTTGCTGTGTATTCTTTGTAATTATAAAATCTATACGGAGCATAAAACTATATCAAATGACTGACATTGTTTTAATAATTGCCTTTTTGTCCTAATACATTAACACAGACAGTGATTTCTGCCTTCAATCATATTTAGGACATCTAGTTGTTTAAACTAAACAAAATTACTGCAAAAACTGCAAATGTCACCTCGAAATACACTCGCCCACATTTCTCCACAGAACATCTGGCTGGATCCATCATCCTGCAAAGTGTTCCACTGTGGAGTAAGTGGCGCACCATCTGCTGCAGCAGCTTGTCTCAGCTTAGTTTTAAGGGTGAGCTTCTCTTGAATGAGGCTGCCCTGTTCAAACTATTTGCGCCTAAAAGTTTAATCTTTTGATCTGTCGAACAAAAACAGCTTTGATTATCTACGCAGGCACATTGTATCGGCGGTAGTTGTGGGGATATTGGTCGTAGGAACACTAATGTTACTATTGTCAACATATATTCACAATAATTGGAGTTTCAGTTTCAGAAAAATGATCATGTTTGGTTTCTGGACCAATCAAGACATTTGAAAAGATTACTTCTGATGCGTGGAACTGATGATGGGCTAGTTTTAAATATGCTACGACAGCCTGCATTATTTGGGCCACAAGCAAACTGTTGATCTCCTAAAATTAAGTCTTTGAGGAGCGACGATTATGAAAATAATGAACAATGACAATGTTTCTCATGTTTTCAATTAGAGGTTTATGAGCGCCAATGTCATTTCATAATGAATAAAACACGTCTACTCCCTGTTGATTGTGTTGCGTACAGGCATTTTAAATCCTTTAAAGACAAAAAGCTGACCTTTTGCTCGGTGGTCCTCCTCTTTGAGACACTGTCCTCCCTCCCACCAGCGTCTCTTCAGGATCTCCAATCTGTTGCTCTCCTGCAGCTGTAAGATCCCTAGAGTGATCTCATCTCTGTACGGAGAGCCTAGAACAAAAACATGAAGAAGGGAGTCATGTACCATTGCAGATTGGAATAAGTTCAATTTCAATGTGATTATCACAACCAAAACAGACTCTGTTGGCTTCCCTCAGTGTTTTTTTGAGGCCTTCAAAGTGACCATGGCCTTTTTCTAAGTACTTCAAACTGAGCGTAACTGTGTTGTGTTACCATCTTGGTTTGATAGATGCAAATGGACTACAAAAAGTTCCTTAAATGTACATAACATGTTTGGATGCTTTTGTAATGTACCTTGTTGCTTAGCTCTGTTTATTAAAAACTCTCTGATAAACTGTAAAAACAGCCATCCTAAAGCTGTTAAAAAACGATGGGTTCTGTTTGCCTGTTTGGGTTGTAGTTGACGCTTCATCCAGAATGATAATAAAATAAGAGAAAAAAAGACGAAGAAGCATTTCTGATCAGTTTTAAAAAATGTGAAAAAATAAACTGATCTTTTCTGTTAAATAAACTCAAGAAAAACTCTATGTTTCTGTTCAGCTCTTAAATTTGCTGCATTTGCTGAACAGAGGAAATAAACCCCACAGCTCATCAGTTTACTTCTCATTTAACGCCACTGTTCCATGGACTCTTATTGGATTCTGCTAACTGGCTAACACAATCTAATAAGGCACAAACCTGCGGCTGCATCCTTTAAACAAATCAAACATGTTTGCAGCAGTTTGGTACCTTGTTTTACACCTAAGGTTTGTGTTCAAACGTGGAGGGCAGCCGGCTGCAAAACCAACTATAGATCTCTGTGGAATGGAACATTGGTTTTGATGATAGGCTATAACGCTCCAGCACTCGGCGGCAGCCACAACCTCCAATGCTGTCCCCTAAACATTATGTGCGCCTCTAAAATGAAATGTTATAACAGTGAAGTGAAATTGAATATACTAGAGTGATAGACAGTTTGGTCCATATTATGTACACCATGCAAATGATGTGAGACTTGAAGCTTGATGATAGACCGCAAAACACAGAGAAGCTCTCACTTGTTGTCAGAGGGCAAATATATTGTATGTTGAGCTTATATTGACTTTATTTAGGTGTAAAATATGGATCAATTCATATAGGAACCTGCATAGAAATGATCTAAATTGAATAATGAGCACCATGACCTGCAACTGGTCGGCAACGGAAGATGTTAGTCACCATTTAAAAATCTCTACACCTCCAATTTATGTTCCTGCCTGAAAAGCTTAATTTAAATAAATCCTGTTGAATTGTCTTCTTTTTGGATGGAAAAAAACAGAAAGTCCACAAAAATGTGAGATTAGAAACAGCTTTCCTGTTAGGAAATTCAATGAGGAAATATATTGCGGCTGTATTTTTGGCTTATATTTCTGTAAGCTTTAGCTGGAAATTTTCAGCCGAGGTGAAGAGGTCTGAAGCCAATTCCACTATGTTGCTTTTCTCGGGTCAAAGGTCTATGTGTGTTCTCTTGTGGTTGCGGGTGTCGTGTCCATAGCTCAGGTGTGAGTGTCACAGGGAGGACATCTGTCTCTATAGCTCTTTCCACTCGCTCCTCTTCTTTACAGCCGTTTCTGAGGTCCTGAGAAACTCCCGTCTCCCTCCCTCAGAAGCTTTGGTTTTGATGTTCAACAGTTTTTTTTCGGCTCACTGGTGACCCGTGGTTGGTTACTGAGAAAAACAACATTGCTGTCCTTGTAATACTCTCCGCACAGACATTGATGTAATCTGTCACAGTCTCACGACATTGATACCATCTCCCGGCGGTTCACAGAGTGCATTCCAGCCTAAGGATTAAAAGCATCCCCACGGTTCAACTTCAGCCTCCTGAGAATTTATTTCATAGCTCATACTGTGACAGGTTTCTGCTTAAAAATAGATGCATAGTTGGAGGGAGGAGAACCACATTGTGGTTTGATTTTGCAAATGGCAGGGTAGAGGAGCCATATGCACGTGTGACATTAGAGTAAAATAATAAAAAAAAAAAATTTCCTGCCAGAGGACTTGTCAAACTGCCATGGGGAGACAGACTTGAGTCTGTAATATGTTCCCATAGCCATGTCAAGATGAAGCTAGTAATTCTGCATTCACTATATTTCTAAATACCTATTGATAGAAAACCTGCTGTTTTTCATGTGAGTTGTCATCTTCTGCAATGAGCACAGCTTTGAGGCCAGCTGCAGGAAAGTCTCTGAAAGTCATGCTGAGACTTATTGTGGAGCATTTAATCAACATTCATTGGCGATGTTCTGAGCATGTGGTACAAAAAACAGGTCCAACATGTGTAGCTTAACCTACTTACAGCCTGAAGAATTCATTAGGGTGGTAATTATCAATTTGGAATGTGAAAACTGTTTGAGTTTTTTTTTTGTTTTTTTACAGAATGAAAGCTGAAACACAGCAAAGCCTATCAATATCATTGCCATCACAAAGAAAAGGACTGCAGATCAGCAATGAGTGTGCCTTTGATTCTATCTGGTGCTTTTCAGAGGTTCTTTTTTTCTTTCTGATGCAATACTGGGTTTTCAAAATCTCACTTGTGTGTTCCAAACCTCAAGAAATTGGCTTTTGTCCACATAGAGGCAGCACATTTTTTCCGCTGTGCACTCAGTGAGTATGTCGGTGTAGATTCTCAGTTATCCAGGTCATGGTAATCCTAAGAGCTTGAATAGGGACAACCAGACATCTTCTTTGATCTGGAAGACGTTTCATCTCTCATTCAAAAGGCTTCCTCGGCTCTCAACTGAAGAAGTTGAGGCTCAGAATCTCCGAACGTTTTAAGAAAGGCCGAGGTATTGTCACCGTCTCCTCAGAAAACCAATTTTTTGGCCAAAAAGTGGTTCTAGCTGTCCATGAACTTGTACGATCTGACAGAAATGATCACAAGCACAGGAAGACTTTTCCTCAAGTTACTTAGGGTTTGTTGGAGCAGCGGATCACTCAGACGCTGTTGAAGTTGATAACTTGCTTTTACGCTCTGCACTTTTTTAACAATGATTTTCTGCCAGAAAATGGACGGAGGCATTACTTTAATGATCATTGTGATAGATTATGTGGACACTCTGATTTCTACATTTCACTTTCTACAGGGGGTGACTGGTGCATTTCGAAAGAGGGATAACAGAAACAAAGCTCAAATAAAGCTCAGAAGTAAATAAAAGGTTGTCAGAAAGGGGGACAGAGATGAAAATGCGAGACAAACCGTACAAGGAGACATGTAAAAATACAACTTGCTATAGGTTAGGATTGGATGATGAGTACAGTAATTACTGTGAAATGTCACATTGCCAGCATGTCGCTAAGCAAGATAAAATCAATGGGTCCAAGATTTTCTTTAAATGTCATTCAAAGACAAAGATTAAACAATACTTTCAAGCCTTTAAAGCACAACCTACACAGACAATAAAACACATAACATTATTCATTTTAGCCAGGGGCGAACAACAAATCCCAGTCCCTGCTGAGAGCGATGATGAACCTGAGACCTGTCATGTGGAATCCGACTGTGGAGAAGACAGCTGAGATGGCACTCTAAACAGCAAGTGCAGGTTATTTCAGTTGCCTAAAATAGTGCATATGGTGCACAGATGGGTTTTTATGTGAAATCTACATGTTAAAAAGCTTCTGATGTTTGTGTTGTTTATCCAGGTGACAGCAGAATTCCATCGGGATACGATAGTACAATCTGTTTCATTTCCCTTCTCAAATATATACATTTAGGAAGAGAGGTGCTGTACTGGACGTTCAGCCACTAAAAGCTGTCATTGAGAAAAACTGCCCGACCGAGGAACATGCAGAGGTTCTCTGGCTTACAGAGGGGCCTCCAGGTGGTCAAAAAAAGAGGGAAAAAAAGTAAAAGCTCAAAACGTAGCATTAATATAACCAATACTGCATAGAATAACTGTTTTAGTTCCTAAACTAAATATGAATGCACAGGTCTCACCAAAACAATTCATGGGGTAAAATTAGGCCTTTTAATTTGAACAAATGAAGAATATAAAGTCATTTCAAACTGTCAAGTCTCATCACTGTATTATGAACCCAAAATATTATCTGTGATTTTGATCATTCTGTAAAACATTTCATGAGCTTATTTGAATTGATGTCCTGCAAAACAAATCCTAATGTAATTAACCGATGATTCTATTTAATGATTTATTTTGACATTCATCTCATGCCTCAAACACAACCTGGTCCCAAGCAAATTACACTTCCAGCTAAAGTTGCCATGGCGATATACCATAGCAGGCGCTGGACCAGCTTTGTCATGCAGGAAACAGAGTTGAATCTCACTAAGACGTTAATCCTGCCTCATGGTACAGGCTCCCTTTGTTATTAGACGGACTTGTAAAAACACAGGAAAAAAATCTGACACCACAGCTTCCTCTCTGTCTCACACACACATATACACACATACACACACACGCACAACTGTGAAATGTTGATGAGGAATTTATGTGATTAAAGGAGCATCCACAACCTTATTCAGAAATGATTTTGAGCTCTGCGATTGGTCCACGTTCTTTTTTAGTAAACATTAAAGTGAAGTTTACCCTATACTCAGCTACTTTATTACTTTCATTATCATTTAGTTCATTTGTAACAGTGACCATCAATGAAAGAGGCTGTGTGTCATTTTGGTGTATTTCAATTTTAACAAAAACTAATAAACACTCGGGAGATCTTTTTAATTCGAAGACACGAATGATGAGTTTGTCAACCCACTAACATCCTTTCTCAACAGAACCTGTTTAACAAAGCAACAGAATAGGTTTTCCTTTTCTTGCCTGAAATGTCCTGTTTGAATTCTTAAATGTATGTAAATTTGTGCTGTCTTTAGAGCAATAGGTGGAAGAAATATATTTCAGGGTTCATTTATGTTTTTGTGGTACTATTTTACATACTATTGTAGAATCTTTTGTTTTTCCTTCATGGTCATCAGAGCTCAAGTGTGGGCAGAATTTGTGCCTCCGTTCTTCAGCCTTATTCGTGACTGAAGCCTATCTTAATCGCTCTTTCCACTCATTTGTGCTGGTGGGATTTTAAAGAAACCAGTCAGGTTGAACATTACTGCTCATTCACACCGATCCAAAGCTACAGTTTCTTTTTAAGCCTTCCTGGAAAAGACATACGATCAATTAGATGTGACTTTCTGACGGAAGAAAGGATGCATTTTTACATTTGAAATCCCCTGAACAGATTTAGCACGTCTATTATATACCGGCAAATATCTCCAGTGATTACACTGCAACAGATGTTTTTTTTTATGTTGAAACCCTACAAACTTCACAGCTCTTTCATACTTACATTATGTTCTGCCTTTTTTTTCTTAAGCCCATTGTGACTGCTCACAGTCGGTAAGAGCTTTTAAAATGAAATGCATTGAGGGCACGATCAGGGACATACTTCTCTGTGCTGCTATTATTTTCATCACTTAGCATGCAGCCTGCCTGACAGGCCAGTCTGCTGAATACTCTTTTTCCCCCCGTGTTTCTTTGTTCTGCTGTTCCAGGTCCTCTCTTTGCCTTTGTTCATCCGTCTTTCATTAAATAGGGAAACATAGCGAGCCATTAAGGCATGAAAGTCACCGGGAAATACAACTTGTGGAGATGGTGAGCACTGAGGTTATCACGTAAGGAGATGCTTGTAAGTAGGAAATCGAATTTTTTATTTCTTTTGCCTTCCCATCCATTGTAGACGTATTAGTGATGCTGAAAGTTTCACATCAATTTAGAGATTTAATCTATTAAATCTCTTTTTTTTTTTTAGCTTATTCTGGTATCTTGCTATTCAACAGCACACAAATAATCTAGAAGATTTCCAATTTTAGTTACGAGACTTGATCCACTAAAGAGCCAGACGAGGCTGTCTGACTGTGACACTTTCATTCATTTTAGAGGTTGATCTTTCTCAGTCAGATATCAGGAATTGGCAACACAAGAACAGCTCGCAGTGGCTTGTTTGATAACTGCTGTTGGTCTTGGATTTATATTTAGCTTTTTCACATATTGAGACCATTTTAATTAGCTCAGAAGCTGCTCCGGATCTGTTTTTAAAGTGGCAGCTGAGGTGGTCTGAGATTCCAGCGTTGAAGCTATCTGACTTCTGATGAGTGATTTAAACATGTCCATGCAGCACCACTCACCCAGAGGCATGCCAATGCCATATCCCTTTGTGTCCAGCAGACCTCCGATCTGTGTGAGGTTGCAGTTTAGACTGCGGTAGTACTCGTTCATGGTGCTCTCCATCAAGAAGGCGTATTTGGAGTTGAGGACACGGGCGATGCCTTCCTCTGTGCTCTTTACAAACACACTGGGCTGTTTGGAGTACATGTAGTTCCACATCCGCTGGTATGTCTGGTACCGCGAGTTCTGTTAGAGCGGAAGAGAAAAATGTGACAGTGAATATACCATTTATAGAAGTGCAGAAAACTTCTCTCTGCACTGAATTTGTTGGTGTAACACTTACTGAAGCACTGGCTTACGACAACGCCACCATACAGACAATCTCCCTCACACTTTTCTAACAGTGGAATCTGCTGTATTTTTAAAAATAAAGTTTTCCTATGCAAAGACAGGAGCTAACTTGGTGGCATTATTGGAAAAATAGTTGATTTCTTGTGATTTCTTTTCTGCTGAGACGTAATCCATAGTTCACGGTCTGGTGAGCATTTGAGAAATCAGCTGGAAACAATTCAAATAAATGTTTGTGTTCATGCACTCCTGTCGTGCGGTGAAAAAGAAGGCGACATAGAAAGATAATGGAGTGAACGGAGCTCAATAATCTCTATCATTCGCTTGTTATCAACAGGTAACCTTAGTTCTTGCTCATTAACAAGCTTTAGTCAGACGTGAGAATTTGCTCACCATGAAGAAGGTCATTGTGGATCCGCCGTGGATGGTGCCGTACTGAATGTTGGTCTGGTCTGCCAGGTCATCCGGAGACTCAATGGGCACTTCCATCCTCTGCACGGTGAGAAACGCTGCCAGGTTGGCCGTGTAGGACGAGATGATGATGAGCGTGAACGCCCACCTGGAGAACAGGAAGAAAAATAGCTTGAACTTGTATTTGTCCCGACGCACTCCGACTACGCCATTTGTTTCCCCCCCACTCCCTTTTTTCATCTAGAGCTGTGAGAGGAAAGCAGGAAGGAGACAGATGGGGGCCGCTGCATGACAGCATCAGGACTTTGAGGTAAAAGTCATCAACCTAAATGTGAACTCCAGCTGCAGCAGGCACGGGCAGGGTGCCTCCCCTGCAAATGAACCAAAACAGAAGCGATGGGCGAGGGAATTCAACAGGGAGGAAGGATTTTGAGGCAAAGGCAGAGAAGGAGAGAGAGGAAGAGAAGGAGGAAGTGTTGTCTCAAAAATATAAGAAAGTATTCCACTGTGATATTGAAGAAAAAATATATGCATTCAAATATCTAATCAAACCAACCATACTTCCTTAAGCTTAATCGAAGTTCCACTAAAAAAAGCCAGAAATTGTGACATTTTTGTCACAGCCTTTAACCTTTTGTGGCTATTTTGTTAATAGTATCAAATGTATACTGGAAAAAAAAAGTCCCCTCCTGGTTTTTAAGGTCTGGTCTGACAAAGCAGCTAAGTAAAACTGACAGAGCTTTTGGTTTCGGGCTAAATGGAGGCTAAATCTTGAATGAGCCTTTACAAAATGGAATCAGACAAGGAGAAAGAGGAGTTAGAGAGAATAAACAAAGACCTGCAAGACAAAAAAAACTCCTGTAACCTGCTGACTAACTAGACTAACAAGCAAACGACAAAGACAACAAAACACATGAAAAGCAGCAACAAACTGATCGCTTCAACTAACTCAAGTCACCTTTAAAGAAACTAACTGCACGGTACTTTTTTCTCATAATTGAAGTGCAGGTCTGACACATCAAAATTCACCTCTATGTTAATGTTTGAGGCTTAAAAACTAAAGTGAAGCTGGGTGCAACCGTATCCTTTTTGTAACTTTATAAAAATGAAAGGCATTAGCTCCACCTCCTTTATTATTCACCTATGCAGCTTGAATATGCAACACATCCAGAGATAAACATACAGAATTCAATTTACTGCAACGTTTGCCACGGCCATCATGAGCTTTTATGAGGATAAGTGTCAGATGTGGCCAGGATGTGTCAGAAAAAATATGCGGATGGCCCCATCCAGTCCCCCCAGTATTGTGCACCATCTGTCTGTCTGCAGCAAATGGGACTGAGGGATGGAGGGCATGAAATACAGTGATACTTGAAAAACTGTAATTGCCTGAAAAACATTGGATATTGAAAATCGACTTCAGTGAAATTGACAATATTCCACGTAAAAAATGTTCCTGATGGAATATGAGCCCATGTGACAATATCAAGGCATGTGCAGGCTGAAAAGCTTCATCTACGGTGCTTAATACATCACAGAGGTCAATATGCCTTGCACTTCACTGTTAGATCATACTCAAACAACAAGGGATCTAATCAGAGAATTTAGAGAAATAGCTGAAATGAGCTACATATTTGTGCAAAATGGGACATCCTGAATTTTGAACACACTTCAATCAAAATCAGCAACTATTCAATAGCACTCGGGGAACTCAAGCAAGAGAAGGACAGAAGGGACAGGAGGAAAGAGTAGCCCAAATGAAACCTGGGGAAAAGTGAAAATTATTTTCACATGAGAGTCACGGCCATCTGTCCCCGTTATTCATGTGTTCATGGTGCTCCTTGGACTGAAGAGAGAGGGAAGGACAAAGAGGACGAGTGAGTGGGAAAATTAGCAAAGAGGATAGGTGGCGCTGCCTGAGGGAAGCCGGGGTTATCTTGGGCCACCCCCCCAAAAAAAAAAGTTCCTTGACACGCTTCCTCTTAGACGATAACGACAATCTTCCGCTCATAAGTTATTTATCCCTCCTATATGTCCATCTTGACCTCCTGCCAGTGGCCACTTGTGACTTTCTCTCTCCTTGGCTCTGGTCGGACAACACTCACACTCACTAGGAGGTGCTGTTGCTCTTAGACCTGTCTTCTGGGGCTACTTGTTGACATGAATGAGTCTTCTCATAACATTATAAACATGTACATTAACTGCGCAAGCCTCTTGCACAAACAGGCAAATAACTTTCTCATCATAGTCATAATATAATTTTAGATCACTAAATGCCAGGGCCAGCAGTAACTGAGTATTATGGTTATTCATGCATGCGTGTGAGCTTGGAACCCTCCTCATTCTGCTCAGAAGGGCTGGAGTCTTTCCAGATCGATGAGTTGATCTTGCACACTCTGACTTGATTTTGAAAAACGCTATATGATTAATTAAATCCATTTAGTTTCTATTAATCCACTTTCAGAGCATGATTTGAACTTCCTAAACAAAAGTAATATCCATTTAATGTTAGTTGGGCTTTCAGAAGGTTAAATATTCTTGTTTATGTGCTGTGTCACGATGACAGATGGAAGTCTGCATAAAGCTTTAAATAACACTCCAGGTTCAGGTTACTTTCAGGCATGCATAAACTGTTACAAATAGACACATCTTGAATGAATATCTTGGTACAAACCAGACTCCGCTGACGCAGCGAGTGGACAGCGCCCGTGGCATGATCTCTGAGCCCTGCTGCATGAAGCCACCGACAGGAAACCACAGGCTGTTACCCAGAGTGTACTGGTTCTCCAGGATGTCCCGCCGCTCCCGCAAACATGGGTGAGGGTTGTACCACTCATAAGGACTAAGCCTGGAGAGAATCAACAAATTGATTGCCCTTAACTAGCTTATTTTGTAAATGTTAAGAGAAAGGAAAAAAGAAAAGGATGATTTGCTGTCTTACTAACTGAAAAAAATATCTGTACTCATACTCTCATCTGCTGAAAATTTGTGCAATTTCAATGTATTTGTGTCACATACATACAAATGCAGTTTTAGGAATCTGTGTTAGGGTTAAGTTTCCCATTTTCATAATCTCAGCACCGCCTGGTATTTTTTGGTCCGATTAAAGTTGAGAACAATTATGTCAAAATATTAATCATCTGATTAATATCACTGGTTCTGGTCAACAAGTTTGGCTTTGAAATTATGTATAAACCCCTAAACCAAAATCCAAACTCAGCAGTAAACCCTGCTTTTTTTCCACAGGAGGCAATTAGCTGTGTCCATGTGGCACCTCAGCCCGGGAGCATTTGGAAGACGACATGACAACCAGTGCTGGATTAGTAAAAGACAGGTGTCCTACCTGGCTGCGAGGAAGAGGACGCAGCTGACGGCGAGGTATGCCAAAAGCATGAAGAGCCAGACAGCTGGAGAGAACGGGTCCAGGAAGGAGAAGTAACCTGGTTTACGACCCTAAAACATACACATGCAGACACACAGCAAACAAATCTAAGCTTAATTTTTGGCATTATTCGGCAATTTGTTTATGTAAAAACATGGCTGAGAACATTTCTACTTTTTTTTTTTTTAAACAAACATAAACATGATGAGAAATAGACCAAACATTCACCAGCACTCTTTCAAAGTGAGAGAGAAGAGAGAAATGCGTTCAAACCTTTGACTGGTATTGTTCTCAATGACAATGTTGAACAGGGATGAGTAATCATGAAAAAAAAACCTTAGAGACATGAAGTGGTTCTTCATGTCTCTCATACTAATGTAACACTGGAAAATCATCGCACTTAGTGCGGGTGGAAGTTCAAACACCTTCAAGCTGGCAGCAATGAATTGCAATAAAGACCATCTGCCCATCACAACAGACAGAAAAATGGAAATGTCTCGGGCTTTCAAACACACAGCCCTCTTTCTCAGACTGACAGCCATGCAATTTACAAAATTACTCTCTCGGAATACAATAGTGCCACATTAGACAAAGAAGAACGAGAACAGAAACTAGATAAACCAGCAAATTGCTGTGACGAGCTTTCCAGTTGCCATCAGCTTCCAGTTGAGATGCTTTACGTCGACCGGGGTCAATACTCCCTTTCCCAGCTCTCCGTGAAGCCTCCATCCTCCACAAACAACAGCTAAATGCTTTGAGATTCTGTGTGGCTACATTAGCAAACACTCTATGGTGAAACCACACGTGTGACATTGTCTATGCTAGACGGCATGCTCATTTTCTTCTGCGGGAAGACGTTACAGCTTATTATGATAATTACAGTTTCCACTGCAGTGCACAAAGTGTCTGTGGAAGACCCAAATACTGGACTCACCATAGGCAGGCAGATAAGGAAGGCTGAGGTGTGCTAATTTAAGAGATTTTTATAAACTGAATAAAATGAAATATACTGCAGGGCAGGAACTCCAAGAGAACACAAAATAACCAACTAAAGATTAAGCATGTTGTTTTTACTTGAGAGAAATCCCCCAAAAGCTCAGAATAATAGTCTTTAATTCCGCAAATTTGAAAATATAAAACTTATGATATATAACATCAGATGTGATCATTCATGTATAGCACATACTTTATTGAATATATGTCAAATAATATAATGCCTTTTGTCATGTTGTTTCAAAGAGGTCATACTGTATATTGTAGTACTTCACCGTCAACATGGGTCCTTTAAAAAGGAAAGAAAAAAGGACACAAAACGGAAAAACTATGACTACTTGGGTGTTTGTTTACACATATTACAGTTAATCTGAGTGCATGAGGGAAAATGGAGCATGTCTTGACAGCCCAACGTGATTGTGTGATGGAAATACTTAATATCAACTATCATACATGAGTTTCATATTCTTATTCACTCATTTAACTTTTTACCCTCCACTGTGTGTTTTGATTTTCAAGTATTTGTAACGCTGTTGACATGATGGCATTTGACGTACTTGAGGATTTTTGATAACATCGAGTGAAGTTTCCACGACACTGATGGAGTCACTGTAACACTTTGGGTAGAACTGTTGCATCTAACGACGTAATCAGATTCTTTTGTGAAGGCGGTGGCTAATTGCGGGTGTGCGGCAGTCGCTGCCTCCCTCCATTTTCCTCCCTCATGCACAGCTGCTATCTGCTCTGTGATGATGTCAGAGTGACTTGAATGCATTGTAGCAAAACGCTATGCCTCCCAGTCAGTGAGTATTAAGGTGATAACACAGTGAGGACTGATGAATGGGGACCAGCAGTTCACATTAATTCATACTGTTCAGCACCAGGGGGCAAGCAAGAACACAGATTAACACAATGGGTCTTCACTAATGTGCATGCATAAGTCAACAGCTTGGGCAATTAAATAGATTACCATCTTTTAATGTGCTGGTAAGCTATGTAGATGCAAGCAGCTTCTGTTTCTGTGTCTTTATAATGTGCGTAATGCTGATTACATGCTCCCAGACGTGACTCCATCGTTTATTTCTTCTCTTTTGGAGCCACAGAGTAAGTTGGAGATTAAATTTGTTGGACAAGTTCAAGAACATGTAGCAAATGAGAAATAAGCACAATAGGAAATATCCATATTGCTCATAATGTATATTGTCCTTAATAAAAATCACCGTGTTTTGTTTTATTTGTGAAGCCTTTTAAAGTTTGCAAATATATAGAAACAATGAGCTGACGATGAAAATATAGTTTTCCTTGACTGACGATTAGGTGACACTATGCACTCAATCATAATACACAGAAAAGTCTTTCCAAACTTTGGACTGGTACTGTATATTACAGTTTAAATGGCAGTCTAATAAAAACAAAACACTTTGAACGAGAAATGCTTCAGCAGAGAAAATAAAATGAAAAGAAACAGGTTTGGTCAAAGCCTCGGAGCTCATATTTGCTCTGTGGACCCCTTCGCCAATAAATTCTGCCAATATCTATCTCAGTGTGTGTGCCACCGTCAACATTGCCTGTTTACCCACCCATCAGGGGTGCTGCACTCAATAAGAGCAGCCTGATGTTAGAGGGAGCAAATTTATGGCATCTCAGATCAAATCCTCCAATTCAGCCTCGACCGGGAGGCCGAAGCCGTCCCCCCGATCGAGGCGATGCATCTCTCAGAGCTCGGCAGCATGAGGGCATAAATTGCCACCACAGGCTGTTACTGTGAGTAAAAATGTGCTCTCAGTCAACTTAATCCTTAAATAAACACTTAAGAAAATGCAGCTGCGATGCTGCTGTGTGAGAATGGCCCTGCTGTACACACATTAAGTGGCTGATTGATCACTGAGTCAACACACTGACGTTGTCACAGTGGACTGGATCAAACATGGAGGACAGATGGTGGAAGTGCATGCTAATGAGCTGCAGATGTACATCATCTGCAGGCAGGGATGCTGCACCCTTCATAATCCTGCCCTTAAAGAGACACACGAGAATCTTTTTGATGATGATGACAAACGAATAATGTCATATCCACATTAATTGTTGCTGGAAGAGAATCAAAGTCTTGTTTCCTTTGCATTATATACTGTATTCAACCTAAAACAATACCAAGGGGGGGGGGGGGTTATACTAGAACCACAGATATTCTGCAAAGTGTTTTATATTTTGACTTTTAATGAGAGAAACAGGAGTATAAGGTAAACAGTGAACTTTGGCCAATATCATAGTGGGATTTTATTTAGGATTTGTATATTTTCATAGATATCAATTGGATCTCATAATGGACTGACTATCTACACAGGGTGTACTTACTGTAGGGATGGATGTGTATCTATTGAGATGATATATGGCTATGGTCATGGTTTATGGTATTATGTTAGACTTAATGGTAAATGCATCCTTTTAAATGAGCTATTAACCATGGATAACCCAGTTTCTTAGCATTAATCAAATTGGGGGAAGGAAAGTTAATAAAACTGTTAATATTTTTCTCAATAAGTCTGGTGTGCAGGGTGGGCTGCTTCATTGGTATGAGGGCTCTGATTGGAGAAATCTCAGCTTTGTTGTGGCTGTATTTTTACAGGGGAAAAAAACGAACAGTTTTCTGACTTTCACTTTGCTGACTCGTGGAAAGCACTCAGAAAACGAGCTGAGCATTTGTTCGATTCTGCTCGGGGTACCAGAATCCCCACCAGCCTTTGAGAGGCTGAAAAACTCTTATCAACGAGCGGGGACATTTCCACCCGTTTGGCCCCCTTTACAGAGAAAAAAGGCGAAGACGTGAGTCCTCTATCTGCTTTTTCAAATGTGCTTTTATCTGCCTTCCGCCACCACACCCACCCCTTCCACCTTTTCAAGTTGCAGTAATGTCTGCTGCTACTTTGCTGAAAACTCACAGTTTGGCTGGCTGACCCGCGCAGTCGGCAGACTATCATGGCCTGCGGGAGCACGGCTCCTGCAGAGCAGAAAGCTTCTGCCGCGACTGCATCCTTTTCCCTGTGAACCCATCAAATGGGCAGCCACGACAACAGAGAGCTCAGACGGGAGATGTCAACAGGTGCGAAACCCTTTCGCTGTTCAATTTGTAAAAATTCATGCCGACTCCGGAGGATAGGCTCAAAATTAAATGGACCCTTTAACTTCGTCTGAAAAAATCTTTTTTTTGGGAGGAAAACAACACGGTCCGGCGGGCTTTTCACAGCAAGCCCACACATTTTTACACCTGCAGCCACTGATTTAATCATTTGCTGCACTGCAGAGTGAACACAGCCATAAGAGCACAGGCCTCCAGAGCAGGGATCCATTTGAAGGACTTCTTTTTTTTTTTTTTTACAGAGTGTTAAAAATTTATATTTCTCCTTCACCATATCAAGTTATGACAAGAGTTACAACGTCCACTGCCAGTCAAACATCTGGACACATCCACTCATTCCAAAAGTATTGAGACAGACGTAAACTTGGACTGCTACTGTAGTTTCCAAAAGAAGTTGGTAAGGTGTATAGAGTACTGTGGGAAACACAGATTCTCACTAAGTGTTGTATTACATATACAAAAAGACCCACATGATAAGTTTAATTGTACTTCAATGATCTTTCACACAGATCTTTTAAGAAAAATATTCATGTTACTTCTTCCTGACTGTTACCAGAGACAGTGCTGTGAAAATCTTTTAAAATAGAACTTTGAAGACTTAATACAACAATAATTTAAAGGCGGGGGGGATAAAAGATTATTCTTTTTTATTTGTCTGTTTATAACCCAGGTTGGTTTCAAACTGTATGAAAACAAATAAGTGAAAACATGAAGGGTTGAACTTACCAGATGGACCCGGTACAGAATGCTGATCCCCAGAGTCATGAAAGGTTTGGAGAAATCAATGACCTTCTCCCTCTCAGAGGTGATGGTGAAGCCTGCAACAGCCAGGTCTGCTTTCTGACAGAACAAGAGAAAGACAACAGATGATTACAGCTTACCAACCATCATATACCCACAGAGTTATCAAAGTGATTGATAAGTTTGAGAACAGGCAAAAAGCTGCATTCCTCATTCTAGACAGACAGAGAAACAAACACTGAACTGAATGAAAAAAAAGATGCTTTCAGGTCAACAAGTGGAGCATGAGAAAACAAGAAGTGCTGGGAATAAAATAATTAAATAGAAAATCAAAGAGGAGACAAAGAGAGGAGAGGGAGGAGTAGGCAGTGTGAGTCGGGTGTGGTGGAGAGGGTCAATGGAGGTTTGAGAGGAAAATAAGATACAAAACCAGCAGAGCACAAAGGAAGAGAGGAAGAGTCAAGACGGGTTGAAAACATTAAAAAAAAGCTGGCTCTCAGGTCAAAAGCAGAAATAGACACAGTAAGTGAGCCTAAATGAAAACACAAAGAAAAAGAAAAGTATTGTCTTTGGAATGAAGCCACGAGTTGATCTGCAAAGCAAATTTCGGACTTCGGAGTAAACAAAGAAAACAAGAGTAAAATGTCAGAGGGATGCATTCATTCTATTATTTTGTTCCTAATAACTAATTTAATCAGTAATTGGCAGAGGCACTTCCAGTGAAATGCATGCATATTCAACTCCTTTGCACTAGCCGAAAACACTTGGGGTGAATCATAATGAATTCTGGAACACAGTTTTTCAGTAATGAATTCAGATGCTAATATTCTCTCCATCCAACAGCTGACGGTTGGAAACTTGTTGAGTACCATCATCACATCAATGAGTCATTTTTTTCAAGTGATATTTTGTAATTTAGTTTATCTTCTGCTAATAGTACTTAGGAGGCTCTAGAGGAAATGGATCATTTAGCCAGAAATACAGACCGATTTGTGCTTCTGAATCAGAACAAGGCCTTTACATAAGTGGAGGAGATATTTTTAAAAGACTCTATCTAAACCGGTCCAATTTGTGTTATATTTAAGTCAACTGACAGCATAATAAATGTGGGATTCATGTGAATGGTGTTTGATGAAAGTATCTCCTGTAGTGTCTCCAGAGAAGTTTGGCTGTTAAGAATGCTGTGGTATAATGAATAAATAATGATTTATATGTGGATACCTTATATGTATATGTGGAAAAATGAGGTCCACTCTAGCTTTTTCCCCTTCCTTAAGCCTTTTGTGTGTTTCAGAGCTCATGCATAAAGAGCAAAACCTATACTGGCTTAATTGTTTTAAAAGCAGAACTTGGACTTTCTTTTGTTCCTTTTAAACTTAACATTTGGATGAATATGTTTTCTGTACTTTTTCAAGTAGGTTTTCATTTCTAAATGCACTTTCGTAAAGTATGTTGATGGTCTGTGAGAATGCTTCCAGCAGCTCCATGAATTCCTCACTAGGTGATGGAAATACAATTCGAATGTATCGCATTGATGTTTGCTTCACTCCAATTCAGTTGAAGTATTAAGCCTATTCATGCATTTCATTTGGCGCGAAAACAACATGTAGGTGCTTTGCTCCAAATGTTTTACTGCCAGCATCCCAAAAACTGCTTGAGCCTTATATCCGAGCACACATTTAACCTTGATGGGTGAACACAGCAGAGCGAGATTAAAGTTGAAAGATAATCTCATTAAGGTTCAAGTCAACAGAGCAGCACCGAGCGGATTCACGGTGCAGCAAATATCCGGACCCCAGACACCTCTTTGCTCCTTAATTAACATTTAACTGATTAACAAGAACACAATTCTTAAACTAATTTCACCCGCTTTCATCAGACTCTTGAGCCTCATGGCGAACAAAGTTAGTGTGTTTGTGATAGTTTGGGGTTGGAGAAGGGGAGACCAAAGGTGGAGAGAGAAACAAATCAACCGAGGGATGGATGTTTTATATTTATTAGCATAAATCATGAATAAAAATAAAAAATTCCCTGGCAACAAATAAAAAGAAGAAACGTGCTAGCTTAGAGAGTGCATGCGCGTGCGTGTGAGTGTGTGTGTGTCCATGTGTGTGGGTTCACGCTGAGGGGTCCCACAGTGAAAGCGAAACAGC